TATATATATATATATATATTCGATAAAATGCCAACCATACGAATATCGCGAATTATACTATAATTACAATTTTAATAATGTTCATCTTCGTTTCTTTGGTTCCTCTTTTTGTTTTCATATTTATATATATATATATATATATATATATATATATATATATATATACATATATATATATGTATATATCTATGTGTATATATATATATATGTATATATATGTCGTTGTATTGTTATATAATAATTTTATTATTATTATTGTTTTTTAACTTACCGAAGATGATAAACAACGAACGTGTATGCTTTGTCGATTATTGTATTGTCATAACGTTGAATAAATTGTAAAATTATTTTATCGTGTGAAAGGCAATATCACAAGTGACTGTAACGTGACTCGTGAACGACCATATCACTGGTGACATCCTTTATGGTCGTACAACCTGTAAAAAAAGAGTGACAATATATGAAATATTAAAGAATTATTAGAACGTAATATTTAATTGATTACCTGTCAAAGCGAAAACTTGATCGATTTCTTTTTTCATCATTTCAAGAATATTTAATGCACCTTTTTTTCCAGCATAACATAAACCCCATAACATCGGTCTACCTATAAATACCTGTAATTGATTAAAAATAATATTTGTAAACTTGTCATATTTATAATTTACTTCTATATAAAATTCTTTGCCTCAGCCTATAAATATTAATGAAAAATAATTATTTTATTTACTTAATAGTAACACTTTTAATAATCATTTTATATATCATTATCTATATATATCATTATATATATATATGTATATATATATATATATATATATATATATATATTATATATAGATTATATAATATTAATAATCTTTATGGAAAATATTATATAATCTCTTATCGTTTTAAAGTAATCATGATACAATTTTATAATATAAATATGTTTGTTTTATCGCATCGAAAGTTTTTTATTTACCATGTTAGCGCCTAAAGAAAGAGCTTTAAAAACGTCAATGCCTTGTCTAATTCCTCCATCCATATAAATTTCTATTTTATCCTTTACTGCATTCACTATCTCTGGTAAGACTTCGATCTATAAAAAAACAAAAGATATGTAATTAAAAGTAATTACTTAAACATTTTACATTCCAAAATTTCTTAATTTTCGTATTTGAGATTTATCGAATTTTTTTTTCATATTATATATATATATTATATATATATATTTATATTATATATATATATTTTCATATTATATATATATATTATACACACACACACACACACACACACACACACACACACACACACACAATGTGTCTCATTTTAAATGGTATGATCAAATATTTCCGATCTTATTGATTTTATAAATAAATGTTTCAAATAGAAGTTGGTAAATCTCAAGAGAGAAATGTAATATTTATTATAGCATTATTTCTTAGAGAGTCCTATTGTCAAGATATGAATGTCATAATAATTTTTTTTATTAATAGAAATCGATATTTTAAATACAACAAAAGTTGTAGATAATATCAGCACCTACTTTTTCATCAATATTTCGTCGAATTATGGCGCCTTGAAACTTCAACAAACTGTGTAATCGCAAAAATGTGATTAAATTTGCTGTAAACATCTGATAACCGATGAATTCATTAATTAATTTCTTTTTCGTCTTGTTTTGTTTATTTATTTATTTATCTATTTGTTTATTTATTTTGGATTCATGTATTATTAAAGTTATGATCATTTGAAACGCGATGCATTTCGACAATCATAAAGAACAATATTGCAATTAAATACAATAATAAATTTTATTTGAAACATTTGTTTATAAAACCAATGGAATCGTAGATATTTAACTATATCGTTTTAAATGAAGCACCCTATATATTATACCGATAAATTGTATTTTGTTAAAATAAATAACATGTAAAAATATATTTTGTTAACGTAAATAATATTTAATGCAAACCGTGGCAGGAACACCATCAACTTGACGTGCACCATGATTAGAAACTATAATGGCAGCGGCTCCATATTTCACGCTTAAAATTGCATCTTCGGCAGTTAAAATACCTTTCAATATGATCGGCAGTTTCGTAATGCTAAAGAAAAAAATTTCTTTCTAAGAAAAATTCTTTAAAATTTTCTTTTCAAAGAATAGAATTTTTAATAAATTAATTATCTTGTCAATAATTAAATAATCGAAAGCTGCAATAATTTTTAATAAGATACCTTAAGGTATCATAAAAAGAAAGAAAAGAATTGAAAATTTAGATAAATAATTTACGTACCTTTTGAGCCATGTAATATCTTTCCAAGAAAGTGATTGGTCGAACATTTTATTAACGTACTCGTTTAAACCTGATCCCGTTTTAGATGTGGTCATTTTATTCAACAAAGCTTCTTCAAAATTAGCTAATCTAAAAAAAGTATAAATTATATCTAATGTCTAATAAATTCGAGAGAGAAAGAGAGAGGGAGAGAGAGAGGAGGAGGAGGAGGAGGAGGAGGAGGAGGAGGAGGAGGAGGAGGAGGAGGAGAGAGAGAGAGAAGAAAAATAGAAGAATATATTTATATGTACCTCAAATGTTTAGGAAGTGAAAATTTGTTTCTCAAATCGGCTCGTCTGTCACCAAAAAATTGGCGCGTCTATTGTAAGAACGAGTGCTTTGAAGCCAGCTTTCTCGGCTCGCCTTATTAAATTCAATGTAATGTTTCGATCGATGTAAACGTAAAGTTGAAACCATTTTATACATTTCGGTGCTACCTTCGCGACTTCTTCGATACTGCTGGTTGATATAGTCGAGAGTATAAATATCGTTCCCGCTGCTTCGGCAGCTATAAATAAATAAATAAATAAATAAATCTATAATACAAATTTTCTGATATCGCGTTTTAACACTTTATTAAAAATAAATCATGAATTATCTTTATATAATATAAATATATAATAATTAATATATAAACTTTGCATAATAGTTAAAAAATATATTATTTTTCTATGTATAATAAATATAATAATATATACATTTAAGTAATATACGTTTTAATTCGAAAAAGAAAAAGAAAAAGAAAAAAAAAAAAGAAAAAGAAAAAGAAAAAGAAAAAGAAAAGAAAAGAAAAGAAAAGAAAAGAAAAGAAAAGAAAAGAAAAGAAAAGAAAAGAAAAGAGTTACCTAACCTCGAATACAAAATTTCGAATAGAAAAATCGATTTTCGATCGCCAACGGGTCAATACGTCCGAAATGTAATTCAAAGTCAGCGTACTCTAGCGTCGTGGCGATCAATCAACGGTAATACAATATACGCATGCGTATAATCGACCTCTATACACTCACCTTTATCATATCCCCTCTACTCGCGTTTTAACTAGCGAAGTCAATGTTATTACTGTTGCCGGTTTATTCGGCGCGTAACGTTCGGTCTATTATTTTTCGCGCGATGTACGCCGATAAATATATTTTTCTTTATAGGAACGATAGATGAGAGATATTCTTGATAAGTAGTATTAAGTGAGGTTAATAAACTACGTATTAGATATGACAGAGGATCGTTCGAAATGATGAGACGAAATGTGATAAGTCTCGTTAAGTTCTTCTTTTTGGCAGTATTTACCGTTTTCCTCACTGTAATTATCTTTCGATATATTAGACGACCACATAGTCGTGAATCAACAAGCCCACAAGTTTCATTTGCATTGATAGAAAATGGAGGAAAGCTTCCAATGGATTTGACTCAAAATTTTAATAAACAGGTAAGCTTTACCTACTTTCTCTCTCTCTTTCTCTTTCTCTCTCGTCCTCTTTTCTTTCTACTTTCTCTGTTAGTTTCGAAGCTGTCTACCGAGAGGAAGGTCAAAGACCCATTCATCCTGCGCGCGACCATTTAAGCGAGTCAAACAGGTTGCGTGACATTCCACGTTAGTTTGACTTTCACGTGCAAAGTCGTATTTAACAATCGTGGACCCGTGTCACGTGTATTTTCTATCGATTTCATTGAAAGCGAATCTCTTTCGAAACGATTGTCCTTCCAAATATGACCTTTATATTTATGAATATCTTTAAAATAAATTTGTTTCTTTCTTCTTTCTTTTCTTTTTAATTCTATTGACAGTTTAGGTACTTGTTGAGAATTCATTGTGCTTACATATTTTTAATATGTTAACTATGTCTATTTCTTCTTAGACTTATCATTCTAACAAATGTTTGCATATATATGATACATAACATCTGGATAAATATGCAATGTATCAAATAGGTCATATCACTTATCAATGACATTATCTGTACATTGTAGGTATAATATTTCATAGGAATAGCATGTAATATTTCAGTAGCAATAAAGATAAATATATTTTACATGACATATAATTTTCTTTTTTGTACAGGATGTGGATGAAAAAATCGATTGGCACAATTATAAACAGATAAAAGAAGATGCAAAAAGAAGTGGGACAGGAGAGCAAGGAAAGCCAGCGTTTTTATCCCCTTCTCTTGATGCGCTGAAGGAAAAATTATATAAAACCAATGGTTTCAATGCCGCTTTAAGCGATGAAATTTCTTTGAATCGCTCAATTCCAGATATTAGACATTCTGAATGTAAAAAAAAGAAATATTTGAGGACACTTGATCCTGTCTCTGTGGTAATCTCTTTTCACAATGAACACTTTAGTACTTTAATGCGTACATGCTGGAGCGTTATTAACCGTTCTCCACCTTCACTTCTCTATGAGATTATACTAGTCGATGATGCCAGCACAAAGGTAGAATTAAAAAACAAGTTGGATGATTACGTAAAGAAACATATGCCAAAGGTAAAGATAATACGATTACCAAAACGATCAGGATTAATAAGAGGCCGATTAGCTGGCGCAAAAAAAGCAGTATCTAAAATTCTCGTCTTCCTAGATTCGCACAGTGAAACCAATGTGAACTGGCTACCACCGCTTTTAGAACCAATTGCTCAAGATTATAAAACTTGTGTCTGCCCCTTTATCGACGTAATAGCATATGAAACATTTGAATACAGGGCCCAAGATGAAGGTGCTAGAGGTGCCTTCGATTGGGAATTGTATTACAAACGTTTACCACTACTTCCAGAAGATCTAAAACAACCTGCTGAGCCATTTAAGAGCCCGGTCATGGCCGGCGGTCTGTTTGCTATAAATGCAAAATTTTTCTGGGAATTGGGTGGTTATGATTCTGGTTTAGATATATGGGGTGGAGAACAATATGAATTGTCATTTAAAATATGGCAATGCGGTGGTCAAATGTATGATGCTCCTTGTTCAAGAGTGGGCCATATTTATAGGAAATTTCCACCCTTTCCTAATCCTGGTCGTGGAGACTTTTTAGGAAAAAATTACAAGAGAGTAGCAGAAGTATGGATGGATGAATACGCAGAATATATTTACCGTAGACGACCTCATTTACGATCATTAGATCCGGGCAATTTAACGGAACAGAGAAAGCTTCGAAAGAAATTACATTGTAAACCGTTCAAGTGGTTTATGGAAAATATAGCCTTTGATCTTGTAGAAGTATATCCACCGATAGAGCCTGATGACTTCGCTTCAGGAGAAATCAGAAATATGGGAGCACCAGAATTATGTCTTGATGCTAAGAAAATGAAAAAAGATGAGATTATAAAGGTAGATACTTGTAAAAAAGATAATCCTGTATTATCAGGAGAACAAGAGTTTAAATTGACATGGCACAAAGACATTAGACCAAAAGATCGCACAGATTGTTTAGACGTATCTAGATCAGATATCAAAGCCCCAGTCAGTTTATATCCTTGTCATGGAAAACAGGGTAATCAGTTATGGCGATACGACGTAGAAAAACAATGGTTGATGCATGGTTATGTACCAAGATGTTTGGATACTGATCCAGGTAGTAAAAAGGTTTACGTGACTGTATGTGATCAATCATCTCCTACTCAAAAATGGAGAATAGAAAATGTCAATATGAAAGCTATAAATAATTGGGAGAACGTGGGACCAAAGCTCAAATAAATTTCTTCCTTTGTATTGCCATAATTTTATATTACATTGAGTTACACTCTTAAGCCTTGCAATTTCGATTGAATGTAAATATTGGCAGATCCTGCTGTTTCCAACTAGTCATTCTACGTTGAGATTCAATTATTGTACTTTAGTCGATTGAAAGAAAGTTTGTAGATATGGAAATGAAGATTTGCGCTCTATATGAGAGAAATACGGTTTTATATCTAATACATATAAAAAAGAAATTTCTTTTTAAATATTTTATTTTCATCTCGTTCTATTACGATCGATTAACATTATTCATAGGAGCGTACTATTTGCTGTGTGCCTTAATTCTAACGGCTGCATTTAATAACACCATGTAAAAAAATAAATTAGAAACATCAACAGATTTGTTATTCGACTGAACGATATAATGTTAAGTAGATTATATTACGATATGGTTGCCATAGGAAGAGATTTGCCCTTTCATAAATTATTAGAAGAAAAGACGAGGTGCTAATAATGATATCATATTTTATATATTTCTAAATGAGCATTCTATAACTTTAGTTAGAAATATAGAGGGTGCTATAATAAAAATTTCTATCACATTTGTGCCGAGAAAATATCAAATTATTCATCGAAAGAATTTATTGAATATTTTAACGTATGTATCATAATAATATCATAGATAAGATTTATTCAAACAGAAAAAGAAGTCAACGTTTTTTAGCTCTCAAATATTCAAAAGATATCCGTTGATAAGATTTCAAAAAGAATTTATAAAATTAATAGATTAGGAGATATTACTTTAAAAAATTTTAAAGATATCTGAATAAAAATATAGTGATATATATATATATATATATATATTCACACACATTTAATAATAATAACAAATATATATATTTAAATATTTTTATAATATATATATATATATGAAATAAATATTTATCTCATACATACATATATTTATAAATTTATTTAAATATATATTAAATTATAATTTAAATTTATAATATATATATATATATATATATATATATATATATATATATATATATATATATATAAAACTAATAAATCTAATTCAAATGAATGATTAAGATATATTCGAAAAGAAGATATATTTCTACTATTTATAAAAAATAAGACAGTAGACGAATAAAAATCATAGAATCATTGACTAATAAAACAAGGAATTATTTATATTTAACAGAATGAAAATAGAAGCAATAATCATAACGAAAAATTAAATCAAATTGAAAAAATAATTTTAATTGAATAATCCACTTTAAACGATTAGTATAACTAAATATACATACACACACGCGCGCGCGCGCGCGCCCACACATCATACATACACACACACACACACAGCATCCATAAATATGCGTACATTTCTCAAAAGCGTAATAATTATTAAGTGACTGTGATTATGACGATTATGATGAAGATTATGATAATAAAAGTCTGGTAACATTCGAATATTATTACTATTTTTCTAAAACATTTATATGGTTTAATAAATGTCTAGGACTATTTTTCTTTTCCTCAAACGATTATTAATATCAAATTTCAACTTACCTTTAACATTAGCACATTCACCATCGGGGTGTGCCATGCGTTGCATTGCAGATGGTGCTACTCCCAATGGCATAGAAATCTTTTCACCTAATATCGTCGTGCTTATGTCTCTTTTTGAAACATCTCGAAGAAATCTAGGTTTTATTCGATACCTAAATAATAACACATAATTCATATAATTAATTCATTCGAATTTTTTATGTATTAATATAAAAATTTGAATTTTGTTATTTTCTCTTTTTTGTTTTATTTTGTTTATAAAATATTTATAAAATTTGTTCTTTTTTCGAAATATCCACGAAACATGAACGAAATAAATTTAATCAATTCATTTGAATTTTATATGTAATAAAAATTCAAATTTAATATTGTTTTGTTTTGTTGTTTTTTTCCCTCTTACAAAATATAAATTTGATAAAATTTTTTCAAATAAGTAAAATGGATTACGTATCATATGAATGTTATCAATGCTAACTTATCATAATTTCATAATAATCATTTTTAAACAAGCTCCCAGTTGTCGATAATAATATCATCGACAATAATATCTCTGTTATAAGACAATATTATTATCAGGCGTATAAATAATACGATCTTTGTACCTCTTAAAAGCTTCTCTATTCCATCGTAAACTAGATTCTTCACCGGCTCCGCTTTTATAATAATCTCTTACGATTGGCGTCAAATTGTTTATCGCATATTTTTCATAATCTTCCAAGCATACCAAGTTCAACATTTTCCTTTAAAAATAAAAATAATAAAAAAAGGAAAAAGAAAAAACATACAAGTACAAAAATGAAAAAGCAAAAGAAATTTGAATTGAAAATAAATATTTTATAATAAAATTATTTAGAAATTTCGTAATTTACGTTTCATGACCCTCAACTTCGTCGAAGATAATTGTAACGAATCTCTCTCTCTCTCTCTCTCTCTCTCTCTTATCAGGGCAAATATATTTTTTTTTATTTCCAATTCAATTGAACGCATTTGTATTATCAATAATAACACATACACATACAATACAAAATTGCTTAAAGTATTTATGAGATTACATTTTTCTTCTTTAGACGTAAATAAGATAAGACGATAAAAAAGATAATTATTATGTAACAAGCAGAAAATTATTTCATTGTTTTCTATAATAATATTTTTTCTTTTTTTTCTTTTTTTTTTCTTTTTTTGTCTTTCTTTTTTTTTATTATTAAAAATATCAAATAGAAAAAAAAACTTACTGCGAGAAAATCAAAATATCGTGGAGAATAAAATGATATTATATCGTTGAAAAATTTTCGCTTAGAAGGAACAACTAGATTCAGAAGAAGAAGAGAATCAAAGAGTGCATCGATCGTCTTGGCCGTCTGGCGTATAACTGACACCAAGAACGAAAATTATTAACATAATCCATCGTATTCATCGAATGTGAACTATGTATAACGTTACTGATAAAGATGTTTATATACTTGGTAATATACCATCAAGTTGAAGAAGATTTATTCGAAGAGAGAATTTTTCGTTTCTTGTCATTACATTTATCATTACCTCCTTTTTTTTTCTATTTAATTTTTTCGAAGAGAAGATTTATTCATCCGAGCCTTTTCATTCGATTATTTTTTTATTTCTTTTTCTTTTTCTTTTTTTTTTTATATCTTTTTTTCGAAGAACAAACTTCACATTCATCTCTCACTGACGGATTTGATCTTCGATATATCCAAGATCTCCTACGAATTCATGGAAACCTATTAAAGCAAATCAATTATACAAAATATATATTTTTCTGTTTCGACTGTTCAATGATGATGTGAGAAATACACTGATCAAATATGATTATATATACCAGTAAAAATATATAATAGAAATAAAAATTTATTTAACTTTACATAGGTATCTAATAAAATAAAAGATTAAATTAAATTTATCAAGTGCCTGAATTAATTCGGTGATATTCTTTTTATGATTTTTCAGTTTCATTTACAAAAGAAAAAGAAACTATTAATATGTTACGAAATATTTTATAAGTTTTTATTTTCTATTACTTTTTCCCATCTTTTCGATGGATTATAAATTGCCTTCTCAAAAGAAAGACACTGGTTTTATGGCAATGTAATCATTGATTCACTTTTGTACGTTATCTGCGATATTGAAATTGTGTGTTGGCCTAATGATATCAGAGCGTATTTAAATAAATGATTTAGGTCTTCCTAATTCAACAAATAGTTAAGATTTTTTCGTGAGTACGATGATACGTATTTGTTTAAAAAAAGAAAAAAGAAAAATAATAATAATAATGCATGCGCACGTGTACTTGAGAAAAAAATTATAATCGTGAATATGCAGGCCAATTTGAAACATTCATCTTTCTCCTCTAATACTTTTTTCTAACTTTAATCAAAAACAAAGATATGGCTTTGTTACATTATTACAGAATAATAATATTTACAAAATATATCGTTAACTAATCACTTTTCGGCATTGTACCCGTATACTTTTTTTATTCCAAATAGCACGAAGAATCAATTTGTACAAAAAATATTCATATATAAATATAAAGTTCCGTTCAAATAAATACAGATGACCTTAAGAAAAAAATCCTTCCAATCGTCCAGATGTGTCCCTTCGAGTGTCACTTTTTCTGAATGATTTTTTTTTTCTATAAAATCATAAATAACGGTAATATTTAGATATATAGATGACTCATATTAGATATTAAATGACTCATAAACCTGTATAACATAAATCGATATATCGTTTTATGGAGAAGGGACCCATGGATTACGGGGCTCGAGACGATTGCCATGATCACCTATGCGCTTAAATCCTTCGATGATTATCCACCATCTTAAAAATAAATATAACGATAGTATAACAATTTGAAAATAATTGACGATTCCTTTTAAACATTACTTTATTACATTCCGTTAAAAATAATACACAAAAAAATTCAAGAGACTCGTTGATGATGATGGAGCCTTTTCGATTCTCGAACGTATCGCGATATTCGAAATCAAAAGCACCGTTACTTTTGCTTTCGTTATCTTTTCTTTTCTTTTTTTTTGTTTCTTCTTCACTCTCTTTTTTCTTTTTTTTTTTTTTTTTTTTTTTTTTTATACATAAAACTTCATGTATGGTATTTAGTGTCTTTGTTTTTACGCCGCTCAATAGGATCGCTTAAGTTCGATAATATACATTCTCGATTATTGATTAAATCAATCGGTTTTATTTGCTCGTTTGGTGCTTCAAATCAACCCGAAGAGAAACGACGGGGTTCGAGATTTGAACTCGATCGATCGATCTATCAATCAATCTATCGATCTAAAGCGAGGCGTATGTATATTGTACGTACTTACATCGACCGACTTTATCATTTTTCTCTATTTTTTCTTTTCTTTCTTTCTCTCTTTCTTTTTTTTCATCATTCTATATCCTACGTAAATATCATTTATACGAATGTAAATCTTGCATCGAACGAGAAACAAGACGAAGAAAGAGGAATCAAGATTTAATTCCGTACAAAAAATGCGCCATTTTTTTTCTTTTGAAAATGATTTAATCGATATCAAGATTCTTTTCTTCTCTCTCTTTCTCTTTCTTTCTTTCACTTTTATTATTAATTATGTATAATTTGCTTCGATAAAATGTTTTCGTAAATGCTTCGTTCGAAATAATAAGAGCTTAAATAATTATCTTCTTTCTATTCGAACGAATATTAATAAAATCGTGTATTAGAATCATCTTCGCGTTGCATCGTTTTTGTTTTTTTTTGTATCTCGATCCTTCGATCAAGGAATGAATAACAACGCTTACAGACGCTTAACAGTTGGTCAATTTTGAGTATCGTCCAAGTGATCGTATACAAAGTGTTTAAATTTTAAACAATATGATCAAATATCTCCGATCCTGTTGACTTTATTAATCTAATGTTTCAAACGAAAGTAGCTAAGTTTTGAACAGAAAATGTTATATTTATTGTAGCTATTTCATAAAGCGCGCTTGTCGTTAAGATAAAAAAATTATGGAGAACAATTATTGTGACTTTGACAACAATAGCCTCTATATAATAGCTATTGTAATAAATATTTTCAAATTTCTTCCTCAAAACCTAACAACTTTTATTTTTAACAATTTCTTTATAGAAACAATACGATTGATGATATTTGGTTGCATTGTTTAAAATGAAACACTCCGCATATATGTGATTTTCTAATTTCGAAATCGTATCGTTCGAAGAAAATACGAAATCGAATTGCGCGCTCTCAAAAAGCTTCACTTTCGGCCATTTTTATTTTATTTACATAACTTCATTCGCAATCGAGATTGTTTCTCAAGTTTATATAGCAAGTATGTATGTCATTTCTCTCGTCATCTCATTTTTATAATATATCGTTGATTCTCGAATGAAGGAAGTTAAAAATTCGTCTTCTTTGTAAATATTAGTAAATACTAAAAAGTATTTCAAACATTTTGGATTCAGAGTTAATAAAAAATATTATACAGAGCCCGTTTGGTATATATATATTTTTTTTTCTTTTTCTTTCTTTTTCTTCTAATCGCATAACACACTTATCAAAGTTTCTTCGACTTTCGATCGATATCAATTAATTACTCGGGACAATAATATTGTCTTCATTTTTACGTGAAATAATATAATAATAAAAGAAAATGGATATAAGAAAAAGAAAAAAGAAACGGGCTAAGATAATATTTGTTTATAAATATATCCGCGTAGAAAGGCAGCATAAACCGTAATCGTATTCTCGTACCTCGAGCACTTCCTTGTGTCTTGGTCCCTTGATTACGATTCTAATCTCTCCTGCAATCATTCATTTTCGTATTAGTCGTATTCGACCGATATAGAAAAAAAGAAAAGAAAAAAGAAAAAGAAAAAAGTAAGATAAGAGATTTCACTGTTATTTCATGTCGAAGATTCACAGAAAGGGGCTTCGTGTAGTATATCTTCCTATATATATTATATATACACGCACGCGCGCGCGTACACGCACACATACACACACACGTATATCCAATAATAACAATAGAGTATAAACTACTACAATTATGTAATTAATTTTGTATCTTATATGTACAACTATTTTAATATCATCGAGAGCACAACGTTAGAGAAAGTATGATTAATTTATATGCTAACAAATAAACATGACTCGCACAATCATGAACCCTAAAAACAATAAAATTATTTGTTAGTTTTCTCTTAGAACCTTTTACATAATTAATGACGATATTAGTGCGTTATCAAAATTTTCTAATCAAATATAATATCATTCATCGCTCGCGTCCAAATTGATTCTCTTCTTCTGATCCTTTTTATTTGTTAATTTTTTTTTTCTTTTATCAAAACAATTGTACGTAAGTTATTACCTTATTTTCCTCTAAAATTTGCTAAAAAAGATGTTTAGTTTCTTACGATACCGGGCATATATCATTTTCTTTTCGTACGAAACATCAATTAAAATTATTTGTTTAGTTTTATTGGGAAGATCATAGAATAGTGGTAATTCGACGTTAGATTTTTCGACTAAGCTTTGTAATAATTTGAAATATTTTGTTTATTATATAATAAATATAGAAAGAGTATTGGCACAGTCTTTTTCTTTTCTTTTTTATTATTTTTTATTTTTCGTTAAATTTACCTCGAAAGAAAAAAATTATTACTCGATATTTGTTTAATTATTTACTGCAACAATAAAATTATAATAACAATAAAACTGTACCAATATTTTTCTCGGTCACTGTAATTACGATGATTATTTCAAATCATTATAAATAAATAATAATATTGTTATCAAAGAATTCATACAATGAGATTAGTAGCAACAAAAAATTTACAGAACTCGAACGACTCGACCGTTTCATTTTCTCAAAAAAAAAAAAAAAAAAAAATGTATGCGTTGATATTTATAAAATATTTTGAAATCGATGTTATAAAATTGCCAATATGTGATTTGATGCGTGATCATACTTTTTCCTTTGCGAGTTTAAACTCACGAGTCTCTTTTTTTATTTCTGTTAATGAAAAAAGAAAAAAAGAAAAAGAAACGAAATTCCAAAGAATTCAAGTTCAACCAAATCAGAAAATGTTAGACTAGGCTTGATTATTAAAAAAACAATAATAATAATAACAACAACGAAAAACAACAACAATATCAAATAGGAAAAATAAGGAATGTAAAAAAAAAGAAAATCGTTTTCGACGTATTGAACTTCGAACCCAATTTCCGAATATCTTCAAATCCAACGAGAATTATCTTATGTTTTCTATTTTTTCTTTCTTATTAAATAGATTAATACGAAAATAAGAGAAAAACAAAGAGAAAAGGAGGAAGACGATTGTGTTACAATTATTATTGCGATTATTAACGTCAATTTCTATTTTTCATAATGACGATTTTCTTAATCGATCGGGAAAAGGTCTTTCTTCTGTTCTGTTTTTTTTTTTAAATTGAAGTTGGAAACAATTAAAAGAGAAA